TTAGGGTTTAGGGCTTCAAGTTTAGGGGTTAGGGTTTAGGGTTTAAGGTTTAGGGTTTCGGGTTTAAGGTTTAGGGTTTAGGGTTTAAGGTTGAAGGTTTAGGGTTTAGGGTTTAAGGTTTAGGGGCGGGTAGATAGGTGTATATAGGGTTAGACAGGGGTAAGCTGTAGGGGTATATGGGATTAGATACGGGGGTACACAGGGGTACGTTGGGGTGTATCATGTTATATACAGCACGGATATCTAGGGTTCAGGGTACCCAAGACGTAGGGGTCACTTTACATGGGATGTAATAAACCTAAACCCTAGACCCGACGGATTTTATAGGGATACATATGGTTGAGACCAGGGTTGGTTTTAGGGTTTAGGGCATTAGGGNNGGGGGGTTCAGGGGGTTTAGGGTCTTTGGGGTTTCTTGTTCAGAACCTCTTGATTCTGGCCTGTGGCCCTAAGGGCAGGCACATTATCCGTTTTCACCGTAACTCTAAATCCCAAACCCTAAATCCTAAGACGTGGAGGTGCGCACAGATGGGTTTCGTGTTAGTCCTTCCTTCTAGGCGGGCATGAGCAGGGTATCGGGTTTAGGGTCCCAGTCTCGCAACCTGCAAGATACCGCAAGGGAGATTTCCTAGAGTCAAGGCGCGCTAGAAGAGATATGCTTGAAGAGCTTTGGGTTTAAGGCTTTTGGCTCCGATCTCCTTCCTTTCCTCCGCTCGCATAAGCCTGAAAGCAGAAAGACCGGGGATTACCTCAGAAGGGCATTTCGTTTATATAGGGTTATATAGTATAGGGCTGCATAGGTTTGTATCGGGAATGGCAGTCTGGATACATAGGGTTTAGGGGTTATGNNTTTGGTAACCCAATAATGGAGAATCAGCTGAACAAGAACATGGAGCATGTCATGGGGTCCTTATCAAGTTTATCATGTCATAACGGGATTTTGGTGAACCCCCAACACAAGGGACCCATAATTCTCACATGGTTCTGATAGGGTCCACATCGTAGGGGTTCTCTGGTGATAAGTTCCCGCAGCCCTGTAGCCTGAGCTCCTCGTGAAGTGTCCTCAAGGTGCCAAATCTTGTTACCGTACCGGGCCCAATATACTTCAATGAAGTTTTGCTATTAGGACCAGAGTCACGAATCCCTTCTTAATCCTAAACCTTACCCTCACCACAAACCTCACACATTTGTCTGGAGGAGCTGATTGACTTCGACCTTCGCCGTATCGGTGTGTCGTTTCCCGGCTGACGCTACAGCCTTCATAGGGTTTAGGGCTAAGGGTTTAGGGTTTAGGGCCAGGATGAGGCTTCAGGGTTGGGGTTTAGGGTTACAGTTTTTGGGTTTCCGATTCAAACTTTACCCTATCCTGTCTTGATGAAAGAAATTTCATGCATCCTTGGAAGTTCAGCAGTTTCAGGACACCGTGTGATGCATGCTTCCTCCGTTCACAACAACTTACCTGCCATCAAGCTAAACTACGGATCCGAAAGCCTAGAGCACCAAAACCCGAAGCCAGCTGAGCTACAGTCTGAACTCCTTAATGGGGGTTATATCGGGGATTATATTGGGGACTACCATGGGGATTATTACAGGGGATGCTAGGAGTTCAGGCTGTAGCTCAGCTCAACCGAGACCCCAAAGCTGAAAACCCAAAGCAGGAACTCGAATCCCCAAGTGCCTACAAGGCCCTGAGCCCTAAGCCCCACACCCTAAACCGTAAATCCTAAACCCCAATCCTCTGAACCCTTAACCCTGAATATAACCCCTATATTATATAACCCCAAATATAACCCCTATATCAGCCCAATATAAACCCTATGTCCTCAACCTTCAAAGGCTTCAATCATGAACCCATTCTAACCAGCTCTCTGGTGCTGGAGGCTTGGCCAACCAGCTGTTGTCCCATTTACTCTTGCACTACTGCCGCGCGGCTGTGCTGAGGGTTTACGGCTGCAGGGTATAGGGTTCAGAGTATGGGGTATAGAGATTCGAGTATGTGGTATAGAGCTTAGAGTATGGGGTACAGGATTTAGGGTATAGGGTTCACAGTATAGGGTATAGGGTTGAATGGGTTCAGAGTAAAGGGTAAAGTGGCGCAACCTGCATCCTATACCACTATGTGATACGTTCAAAATCCTTAATCCATTGAACTCTGAACCCACAACCTGAATCCCTACAATAGACCTTGAACCCTGAACCCTAAACCTTGAACTCCAAACCCTAGACCTTAAACCCTGAACTCTAAACCCTAAGCCCGAACCTTTGAGCCAAGATGAATACAAATTTTCTAGGGCAAGGTTCAGACAGCAACTCGCCCAACACCTGGTCAAAATTTGCTCAACACTACCGACCTGAACTGTCTACAGTTTGTATAGCCCCTAGACCCCACACCCTGGACTTTGAATAATAGGGCCAACAGTGCATGTTGGTAGTATTTTATTTGGGGATACTGTGGTACCCTGTATAGAGTAAGGTTATATCCTCCTTTTGGGGTATAGTATTTTATATAAGGAATATAATCTTACTGGGTTCAACTACAAAAAATGCTACTCATGTTGGTCTGGAGGCTAAGTTTCTGCATGCTTCCGAAGCTCTGAGCCCCACTCCAGGCTGTTGTGCCCGGTAGGATGTTTGTGGGTTAGGGTTTTAGCGTTGGGGTGGGCCGTGGTGGAATATATCTTCAAATTTCAGTATACTCAATAAGAGAGACAGCGATGCGTCTTATCTTCTATCCCGATATAGAACCAGAACAATGCTGCAGGCTGACACCCCAAATCCTGAACGCTAAACCAATATGCCACTGCTTTCGTGGGTTCTTCTATTATTCTGCCCCTCATTTTTCTCCCTCTCTAGGGTTTAAGCCCCGGATAACCCGAAGGAAGGGTGAGCTAGGAACCCCGGTGGGGGGGGGGGTCGTGTAGGGGGGAACCCAGAACTTTGGTGAAGGGACGTGTAGCGACCCAGGAACCATTCCTGCAATCCGAACGCGGGGCGCTGAGGGGGTGGTGCAGAGCCTGTGGATGTTCAGTAAAGTGCAGATATGGGAGGTTTGAGAAGCCTGGTATAACAGGGGTAGGATTGAACATAATTTTGAATCTTTATTACCTTTAATCCTTGTGTAATGCCTGTAAAGCCGTCGATTTCTTGTGGGGGAACATTAAATGAGCACTAGAAATAGGGAAAGTTAAGCTCCACATCTTAAATCCTAAACCCCTAAACCCCAAACCCTAAAGCTTGTTTTGGGTGTCCTTGCGGGACCCAGTCTCTATTCTTCATGAGGGAACCGCACCTCTGGCATTTTCAACTTTGCTGCATGTGAACTATAGGGTTTACGGTTCAGGGTTTAGGGTCTGAACTCCTAATATATCGCATAATAACCCCTATGATACTCCACTACATGGACCCTATTTAACCCCTAAACCCTAAACCCTAAAAGTGAAGGGGCTATATAATCCCCCAGAAAACCCCCTTCAAGGAGTTAAGACTATACTATAGCTCATGTGGGGAGCGCTGACATGCAAACTCTCCAATCAAGGCCAAGCCGTTTTGTTTCCGTTGTTTACTTGAGACAGGCCGACACACCTCGTGGCTACGAATAGTTGGGCGCTTAGGGTCTTTAGGGTAGGACCCCGAGACACCAAACTTGTACGACCAAACTCATTCCTATGATGTAAGGTATACGGGATGGTGCAAGATGTCCTTCATCCGCAACCTTTGGACTTTAAAGCCAAAAGCGGGCGTTGCTCCAAGTAGTCCTGATAAATCCTGAAAGGATACTCTACCCTAAGCCCGCAGCCCTAAGCCCTAAACCCTAAACTCTAAACCTCCTTAACGGGTATCCTATCCGTATGCAATCCCTACATACGCCTCACGTCTCCTAATGGACCCGGATTGTGGGACCGCCCCAATCCCTATAACCTTAAATCCAGTATGATTATACATATATTTATATATGTATTACAGACAATGGTGTTAGTAGTAGTAGTAGTAGTAGTAGGAGTAGGAGTAGTAGCAGTAGTAGTAGTAGTAGTAGTAGTAAACCCTCAACCCCCAAAAATAACCCCCCAAGCCTAAACCCCAAACCCTAAACCCTTAAACCATAAGGGCCTACCCAAACCCTGCGCCCTAAACCTTAAACCCGAAATAGTAGTTTCCATTTGGTCTTCCATGATTCTTATATACCCCCAATATAATGCAAACCCCTGATTGATAAACCCTTCCCCTTAGTAGGGATTATAATAGGGATCCTCATATTAAGGCGCTTGAAAGGGGGGGTTTGATTAATCCTGGGTCTACATAAACCCCACCAATATACTACAGTAGTTTGGTTTTTTGTTTTCCATTATCCCCATATAACCCCAACATACTATAGTAGTTCCGTTTTCCTTTCCATTATCTCTATTATCCCTAAACCCGAAACCCTATAGTACTTTGAGCCCAGTCGAGGCCAAGCTCGTCTGGAAAGGATCGCAGCTTGTCCTCTCAAGCCTGCGCAGCATCTCCGAAGGGGAGGCACTTCAGGGTTTAGGGTCTAGGGTTCAGTGTTTAGGGTTTCTTCAACATTCAGAGCTTGGTGTTCGAGTTAGAGCTTTCGCCAGGGGTTTCGCGTGTGGTGTTTAGGCTCTAGGGCTTTGAAGTTTACGTTTTTGGGTTCAGGTTTAGGGCTAAAGTCTTTGTTGAAATGGGTTCAGCGTTCAGGGTAACATGTGAAATTTGAAGTCTCATAATGGAATCTGTATGCCCCCTACATCTATATCTACTCAAGAAACATGGACCAATCAGTTATGAATGTTAAGACTTTGGCTAGGAGTCCCACATGGTCTCTTAGTGTTTTAGTAATGTTGCGGGATTGCATGGCATGCTGGAAGGCAGGATGCAAAATAAAGTATGGCGCATGTGGTACTGCGCTCATACTGTAGGGTTCGTGGCTCAGGGTGCATTGGTCAGGGGTTATTTTGGGGTTATATTAGGGTTGTATAGGGGTTATATTAGGGTTATAGTAGAGGTTATATAAGGGTTCTATAGGACAAATATCAGGGTGGGCAGCTTGAGGTCCTAGTGCAGAAATTGGAGTTCAGCCGGTCGGGTTTCCCGGAGCAGTCTGACAACCATCCTTCGGATGTTTCATCAAAACTCGAAACCCTAACCCCTTAATCATTAACCACACATTCTGCCGTAAACCCTAAACCCTAAACCCAAACCCTGTAGTTGCTTAAGCCCTCAACGCTGCTCCTAAGGCCTAGCTCAGCTGTAGGATTCAGGCTCATTATGCGGGTTTAGTGGACTTTGGATTTGATTCACAAAAATCGTGTTCTCGGAGTTCTAGGGAGTTGACGGCTTTCCGTGCGGCAGTCGAGGGTTTGTGGCCTAAACCCTAAACCCTGAACAAGTCAACCCTTTGATTCCATTTGCAGGTCCTGGAGTCCTGGAGAGTTTAGGTTTGGCTGGGTTTAGGGTTCAGACAGATTCATAACTGAACTGGGAAAACCTGCCTTGTTTGTTGGTAGTTTCCCCACAAGCTATCTGTAGACGTTGCCTCAGCTTCCAGTAGTGGCTCCTGTGATAGGCATCTGCTCAAGTTCTGATTCGGTCGAAGTTGGCACGTTGCCTCACCCTGCTGCCCATGTGCTAGAAGAATCAAGAGCTTGTGATAGACGGATTCTTAAGAACTGATCCCTACCAAGAAGGCACCTGTACATCAGGCAATTAGTGCAACTATTACTATTACTATTACCATATTGATGCTGTCATTATTATTTATACTGTTACTAGTACTGTTGCTCCTGTTCCCTTAGACAGGAGATCTTCGTGTCCTACATCAACGAAATAGATGACGTGCTCTCGAGGAGGCCAAAATCTCGACTGCTTAGGGCTTAGGGCTCCAAAACTGGGTTGCTAATAGGGAATTTAGATTAGGTTACTGTAATAAGGAACCTCTTTCAAAATAGACTACCGTGATATGGGTATATCGGTTTTAGAGTTTAGGGTTTACGGATTTAAGTTACCATAATATGGGTATGTAGTGAATAAGAGGGTTTCCTCATCATGTTATCTTGATTTGCGTTCAACACAGAAGATGAAGCCCGCATGGGTACCATTCAGGTAGACCCCCCACCCAGTAATAGTGACTATAAGGGATAATGGTAATTATATTAGGGTCCTCTTATAGTTCTACTATAACACTATTACAGGGTGGGGGGTCCTCCTAAGGTACCATGTTCCAGCTCTGTGTGTAGGGCCGGTTTTGGGTTCTACCTTTGTTTAGGGGGAATCGATGGCTATCCCTACCACATTTTCTTATCAAGCGGAGGCTGCCTTTGGATTAGGGGTTTACGTCGCTCCACATTCGGGCAATATGGTAAAAATGGAACTTCAGATTTTATTTTGAGGTCAGCAGAAAGCCGTTCTGGCAGGAGGATCCAGCTCCCCTCAATGCCAACCGCCCTTGCGCAAGATGCTTACATCCGCGAACCGCTCCGGCTCACCCAGAAATGCGCTATATACCCCCGTGCTACCCCATACGCACCCCAATGCCACAGAAGCCGATATATAGTACGTAGTGTGGGAGATGTCGCCACCAAGGGCTCCGTAGGTATGGAACCAAACGCCGAAGCCAATTTCGTGCTGTAGACTCCCAGACCCGGAAGATGGTAGATACTAGTAGATACCACGGTTTAGGGTTTAGGGTTTAGGATACCACAGTTTATGGAAAAGAAAATGAAAACTATTCTTTAGTATAATACTGGGGTTATATACAGTGGAGGCCCGTCCTGGCGAAGCCAGAATCGCTTGTGTTTTGCGGGCCGCCTTCCAAGGCCTTGCGAGGCCTCGACAAAAT